TTATACCCACTAGGATGGCTATAACTTTTTAAAGAAAGGAAAATAATAAGTATTGGTGAGAATGTGGAGAAATTTGGAACTTTTATATATTGCTGGTGGGAATGTGAAATGCAGCAGCTACTTTGGGAAACTGGCAGTTTTTCAGTAAGTTAAACATAGAATTATCATATGACCTACTCCTAGGTATATGCCAGAGAGAATTAAAAAATATGTCCATGCAAAAGCTTGTACATGACTATTCATAACAGAATTATTCATAATAGCCAAAAAGTGAAAACAACTCAAATGGCAATCAACTGATGAATGAACAAACAAAATGTAGTATATCTATGCAATGAAATATTATTCATCCATACAAAGGAATGAAGTACTGATGTGTGCTACAACATAGATGAATCTAGAAAACATTGTTAAGTGAAAGAAGTCAGATGCAAAGCACTATCTGTTGTATGATTCTGTTTATATTAAAGGTCCAGAAGAGGCAAATCCACAGAGACAGAAAGCAGATTAGTGGTTACCTAGGAATAGTGGGTTGTGGGGAAGTGGGAAGGGACTGGTAATTGGTATGAATTTCTTTTTGAGATAATGTAGGTATTCTGGAAATCAATAATGGTGATAGTTATACAAATGAGAAAATATGAAAGCAGAGCTCCTGGCAGCATCACCTCAGAGATGTCCTCCCACGCTCTCTTTGGGTAAATGTGGTCTTGCTTTAAGATGGCACGAAGTTAAAGTCTAAAGAGTCCAGGTGGAGTACTAATCATTCACTCATTGGTCATTCATTCATTTACTCAACAGACTTGTACTAGACACTGACTCTGTTTGGCACTGTGTTAAGGATTGTAGCAGTTGGAGGAATAAGAGATGCCAACTGGCCAGAGCCAAGATTTCCTCAAAAAGCCATGGAATTAATTACAGTGTGGTATGACCAGTGCTAGGATCAAGGCAAATCTCTCTGTAGACAGGCATGCCTCTCTGGACCTTGGAAAGGGAAGGCTTCAGAGAGAAAGTCACAGTTGAGCTGAGCTTTGACAGGCAAAAAGGATGTCATCAGATAAAGGAAGAAGCAGCATGGCAAAGGAAAACATGAGAGACCAAGGAATATCAGGGGGAATGGTGAAGCCTTTGTGCATCTGTATCAAATAGGGCTTGGGGAGGCAGGAGGGCATCTCGTTGGGAGACCCAGAAGGGAAAAGCAGGGACTGACACAAGAAGACCCTGGTGCCTGTAGTCAGGAGATTATCCCAAGAAGCAGGAGTGATGGAGACAGAAAAGAAAGGCCAGTCTACGGCCATGCTACCCTGAACAAGCCCAATCCCGTCTGATCTCGGAAGCTAAGCAGGGTCGGGCCTGGTTAGTACTTGGATGGGAGACCACCTAGGAAGACCAGGTGCTATAGGCATAAAAAAATAAAAAAATAAGAGATTGTAAACTGAAAAGGTCCTTGCAATCTGTGAGGTCAACCAAGGGTTGCCTTGCCTGAGGAATAAAAAGAAAAGAAAAAAGAAAAGGACAGACAATAGAGTGCTCATTTTGGATTGGTTACCACTGTGAACAACTGGGCTCATTCTTGTTGAAGACCACTGAGCACCCATTTAGAGTACACCTCAGAAATGCCCTCCAAAGACAGGAGCCCAGGCACTTGTTAACCAGCTCCAAATTCCATTGACTGTGAAATGCCCCTGGGGATGTTAACTTCTCCCATAGAGGCTTTCATCTGAGATGCGCTTGAGAGCTTTGTGTCTGAGAAAAACCGTAGGGTAGAAAAGTAGAGAGTAGTAGGGATGGGCGCTTGAAGTGAGACCCCAGCAGCCCTTGGAAACTGTCCACCGGAGCTGCAGCAGAAATCCGAGATGGGCCAAAGGTAGGTGGCATGGAACATAAAAGGCATCTGCTCAGATTAGGGTGACCCAGATTAGGGGGCTGAATGGGTGCAGCAAGCAGAAGAAATTCAGGAAATGAGGTTGGAAAAGTAGGCTGGGGTTAGGAGACCTATTGTGAAGAGATTGATATGCCAGGTTACAAAGTTTAAACTTTACTTTCCAGGCCCTGACACCTAGTAGGTGCTCAACAAATATTTATTAGATGAATGAATATTAATGACAGATGTGCCTGGGCCAAGTCCCACAAAGCTATTAGAATGCAGCAGATTGGCGTGTGGCCTCTAACTTCTTTGATCTATCTTTCATTCCTCTCTCTCTCTCTCTCTCTCTCTCTCTCTCTCTCTCTCTTTCTCTCTCTCTGAAGTGGCAACATAATACCTTTTTTATAGGGTTATTGTGAGGAATTCGATACAATCAAAGATATATGGCAACTAGAAATGTGAACTCAATAAATGTCATTCACTCTACCTCTGCCCTCATGATGACCCAAAGTCAAATAATAAAGCTGAACTCTCCACCAGCTAGAAACAATGAAGTTTGCCCCTGGGATCTGTTTACAGAAGATGTATGCTACCATTTCTGGCTATATTGGTCCTCATGGAAAAAATTAGTGGTATTGGTAACAACTTCCTTGGACCAAAAGGGAATCATACTGCTGCTTTAATTAAAGGACAGAGTTGAAACTATCCTCCCAGGGAACTTACTAATTCAGAAATTGATGCTTATAGTAACTTATAGGGTTTTTTTCCTTTGTGCATTTAAATATACATATTGATGCATCTTCCAATCAATATGTTGTTGACAGAGATCATCCATTCCTGTAGCGCTGCCTTTCTCTTTCTGAAATCCTAACAGAGGCCAAGATGCCTTTGGACTTTGCTTGATGGAATACCCCTGCATGGCAGCTGTAAGCATTGGGAGCTCCTCAGTCCTTCCCAATGGACAAAGGAGATCGGGGAGGTAGGGACCATCTCTTCAAAATACGAAGCTAAGGTGGGAGAGAACGCTTGAGGAACTAGGTGAAGAACTGAGAAATCACACAAACTGGAGAATACTCAATTAATGTATTTTAAAACATATTCATTCCCCCATAGCAGTCGGACAAAAAGACAAATACTGATGAGTCATGCCAGTAGCAGACCAAATTAATTAAAAAAAAAAAAGAGAGAGAGAGAGAGAAGAAGAGATATTGGGAAAATGAGTAAACACAGACTTTGTCAAGACAGGAAATTTCGGAGTTGAGAAGTTGCTGTGGAAGCGCATCTGCTCCCGATCTGGAGTGATTCACAACTGGAGAAGCCAAGTAGGAGCGGCAAGGTGGGGATTCCTTCATCTGTCTGTTCATTCATTCATTCATTTCCATCATTCAACAACAATCAATTATCTCTCCAGCACACTGGAAGAAGCAGCAGAAATACAGAAGCTTGAAAGACACGACTCCTGCCCTTGCAGTGTTCTGGAGGTAGGGGAAACAAAAAATGTCACTAATAATTATAAGAAAGTGGCACCAGGGCAACGATAAAGACATGTACGAGATGGAGAGGTGACTCAAGGAAGAGGGATAGGGGCCAGAAAAGGCTTCTCAGAAGTGGGGATCCTTTAGCTGGGTCTTAAAGGAAGATTGGAGTCCCTCAGGCAGTAGGGAGTTGTGCCCGTAAGGACAGCAGTTCCAAGGAAGAGGAAAAGACATCCATAAAGAGTGGGACGTCTTTGGGGACAGCATGGAGTTGGTAAGGCTAAAGCGCAGGAGGAAGGCAGAGAAATTGGTAGAGAACAAATGTAGGAGAGTCTCCTGTGTCATACAGAAGAGTCTGGGTTCAATCCTGTAGATGATGAGGAGCCACTGCAGTTTTTTGAGCAAAAGCATGTCACTATCTCATTTGTAGTTAAGAATTATCTTCCTGGTATCTTCCTAATATCCAGCCTTAATGGATGGATTGAAAGGGATTGAAAAGCAAGTGGGAGCAAGACGGCCTGTTCAAATGGTTTAGGTGAGAGGCCAGTGACAGGGAGCTGGATTATGTCTAGTTCTCAAAGGGCATTGAGGACAGGAAGAATTTCCACCTGCCAAGTCACTTAGTCTCCTAGTATCAATTTCTTCAACCTTAAAATGAATGAAATGTGAATCACGGATATGGTTCCCCCTTGCAGACAGCACAAGATAATTTATCAGGACTTCTCTCTGCAGATAGTGGTACCTCACCTAAGATCTTGGAAAAGTGTGGTGAAATCAGGTGTGGAAAGGAGGGCGAAGCGGGAGTTGTCCCCCATTCACCCCCATCCCGAGGGCCAACCTAGGCGCCTGGCCACAAGCTCCTCCATTCTTTTCCTGCCTAGGAGAATCATTGAGGCCACAAAGAGGAGATGGAGTAGAGAGACCTCTTAGACACACAAGTGTCTAAGGCCCCCGTTGTCATGGTTTAATTCAGTCACGCGGTTGTACTCTCAGCTTTGAAGTCACAGAGGCCTCTAAGCCATTTGGAGCTGTCAAATTTGCCTATTTCTTCCCCGAAAAGCTCTAGTGAGCAGTGAGAGAACGCTTTAAAGAGACTCAAAAAACCCAAAGTTTTATTCCCAGTTTTGGATTAAATAGCTCTGTGATTTTGATCAAATTAGTTCAACGCGCTCAGTCAACCCTGGCAAAGGACAACGCCGTGGGGTTGGCAAACCGCTCGCTTCGACACCTGCCCTCGCCGCCGCGCCACATCGCCTTTACCCCACCTTTTTTGGTTCAAGGCGCCGCCTGACCCTAGGCTAGGGAGGTAGAGGAGAGCGGGGTGGCGGAAGGTTGGCTGGGCGCCCAGGCGCCCCCGCGCGCTCCCTTACCCGGGCTCCCGCCTTCCCCGGCCGCGCGGCCCCGCGCTCCGGTGCAGGGAGCCGGTGCTGCGGCGGGAGCTGCGCAGC